ACAAATACACACCACGTGGCTGACCCGAAAATTGCGAGTATCGGCCAATGTCCAACGCCAACTGAGCATGACCTCCAATTCCATGGAGAATCAACTCGGAGTTATTGTGCCAAACATATGGCGGTCAGAGTGCCCCTTTAATAAAAGCGGTACAAACAGTCCACTTTGGTGTGGATTTTTGGCCTACAGACAGAAATTTTTACAAAGAGGGATTTTTTATTTTACACAAGAAAAAAAAGTTTTGAATTTCACCCTCTTGTTGCGGAGAGGTGTGTTTAACTGTTACTCAAAAGTACACTTCTTCTCTAGTGCCGTAAGTGGCTGTGCCAGGCGGATCAAAGCCTCCACTGATGTGCAAGTCCTCCCGTTATGAACAGGTATGTTCTACAGGGCAGCATGGAACCGGTGATCAGCAGTTCAATACCAGGGAATACTGTGTCAGTGCCTGCTGCGCTTGTTATCTGTCATGGTCTGACTCTTTTTCATCTAGACCCCGGCCAGGGTCTGACGATTGAACCACTAGGTTCCTTTTCTGGAAGTCATGATAGCAATCAAACATCACATCAAAACCCGAGACAACTCAATTGCGATCGAGCTGTATCTTAGTTTCAGTCTTTAACCCCTTCATCTAAACCCCTTAACTTCTGATCACTGACAGTTGTTATCGTTCCATTTGTTATTCATAACACCTAGGTTACACCCCTCTGGCCTCTCTAGTATAAATACCCGTAGATAGGTGCATGTACAGTATACTATTCTGGTCTAATCTCCAGTGGCTTATCTTGTTATCCCTTTTCGTTTCATTCTGTCACCTCAGTCGGACCCAAACCCCGACCACAGGCCTCTGTGCTGACGCCATCCCCAGTAGACTTGAATGGCTCACTTAATTATCTTCAATTACCTCCCATCAGAGCTGCCGCCATCGGAACAGCGCAAGCCACCAAGCCGAGGACAAGCCGAGTTTGTTTTTATCCAACCAACTTTTTCTTTTTCTGTGGTGGCTGAAAGTGAACACTCTGAGTGAAAAAAAACTACACAGTACACTCAATACTTGAATTTCTTTTTACTCATTGAAAATTTTGCATTGTCAAGTCTCAAAAGTTGGTGTAAAAAACAGACAGTTTACTAAAGGGGCACTCTGACTGCCATACAAACAAGCCACCCGGCCGATGAAGAGCATCTCGCTGGAATCAGAACAAATTGAGGAAAGGAAAGAAAATGGAATGAGAGTGGGGACACACACTTAAACCCATACTGTACATACTGTGCACCTGTCCTGCCTGTAAACCAAGGCAAATTAGCCTGGTTTCACGGGGACAAAAACAGGCTAAGAAGCCTACAAGGGACGGTTTGCCCCCCTAGGGGCACCACCAAGATTTCGGAGAGGGATGGGAGGACAATGTCCTTCTTAAGGCTGTTTTTCGTGGGGGGGGAACAAGGAGGGGGAGGGGGGGGAAAGGGTGTAGGTGATGGTGGGAAGGGGACATGAAGGGACATACATGAGCTATTGACCGGGAGAGGGACACAGGAGGGGGGGCAGCTGCACTCTGGGAGGCAAAACACACCAGGTATCAGTGGGGGGACTGTAAGGGCAACGGTGAAGGTATGTGTGGGGAAGGGGACGCGGGCGGGGGAACCTAACCCTTTTATGATACTGCACTCACATGGGTTGGTTGAAGTCTTATTAGTCAACTTGATTTTATTGAATCACTCAAGTTGACTTGCTAGATCTTCGTGGGTGTTTGATTTCGGTGTGGTTCAGCCAGGTTCCAGCTCATAAACACTGCATATACTGTATTATTTCGTTCAAATCGACAGTCACATGTCACACACCCCCCTGTTGATGCCGAATTTTGGTTGCAGTCACGCATCACTCAGGCCTTTGTCGAACCTCCCAGTGGTCACACAGGTCCCCGAACTGCCCAAAAGGTGCAAAAAAGACAAAATTTTCAGTTCGAATGCCGAAATTTTTGCGGTGTCACGCAAAAATTCGACCCCCGCTGAAATGTCGAAATCGTTGAACCTGTCACGTGTCACCCCCCCTGTCGATTTGAACGAAATAGTACAGTAAATGAGCTTTGAACTCATGTTGCAACCACTCGGTGGCACTGCCATGGTGTGCACCTGCTCCGCTTTATCGCTCTGATGCCCCAGTTTATGCAGGAGGCCCTGGTTCGATTCCGGGTTGGGTGATAATGCAGCAAGACTTGTGTTCTTTTCCCCCCTTTCCATGCTTTCGTACTTTAACCAACACCAATGACCAGGGTTGTACTGAGGTTCTATGGCGGTCAGAGTGCCCCTTTAATAAAATTGGGGTAAACTTTGTGTTTTCACATTGATTTTTGGGACTTGAGAGTGTGGAATTTTCAACCAGTATTTTTTTTTCCTTACCCACTCAAAATATCAAGTCTACTGTGTGCTTTTTTTTTTTTCTCAGAGTAATTTTTTGGTAAAAATATTATCCTTTGTTGTATAAAAAGAAACTCGGCTTGTCCTCGGCCTGATTGGGTGCGGTTGTTCCGACGGCAGCGGGTTTGATCGGAGGCAGTTGAAGGTGTTCAAGTGAGTGACCCACATCTCCTGAGGAGGGTGAATGCAATAGAGCATAGCACAATGCTTCATTTGACCCGATGGTGATTCATGCCTCCCTGCAGAACATACATGTCCACAACAGGAGGACCGGCACATCAATGAAAGCTTTGATCTGTTTGGCACAGCCGCCTTATAGCGGTTGACTGTACGCAACAGTTTGCGCACCTCTTTGTGAAAAGAGTGTGAAGTTGATAAGTTTTTCTTCTGAGTGAAAAAAAAACTCTGTTTGTGAAAATTTCCACCTGTGGGCCACACTAAATCGGACTCTTTGTACCCCTTTTATTAAAGGGGCACTCTGACCGCCATAAGGTTCGAGGAGGAGCGGCAACAAATGTTCAACCAGTTTTATTACTCAAGTTGATTTCCTTTTCTCCGTTGGTTCCTCGTGAATAGTGCATACAAACAGTCCTGGGATCTAGCGAGCAACCACCTGCCAGCACAGGGTGTGCAGCTGTTTGACCTGAAAAATTTGCCGCAGTTTAAGGAGGAAGTCCCGGTTCGATTCCTGGTCATGTAATATCAACACAATATGTTTTTTTTTTCTTTTACTTCTATGCTTCCTTCTAGTCTCTCACCAAGGGACAGATAGGACTGAACTTTGAGGAGCGGAGAGGTTCAACCAATTTTACCACTCGACTTGAGTTTTATTCAAGCTGATTTCCTTTTTCTCTCCTTGCTTCATTGTTCGGTGTTCAACCCATAAACCCTGTATATAAATGATGCTGCTAGTAGCTCATAGACACTCGGTAGCACATGGTCATGATCCCCATCTCGGCCTCCGTATACTTGTAGCATGCACGCAGGCGCTTGCCGATGTCAATCACCGTCTCGGGCACCTCACCGTCGATTACTGTGTCTTCGTAGAGTCGGGTGAGCTGCTTGCTGGCAGCATTAAACAATTCGGCCTCGTGGTTGTAGAGGTTTCGTTCGCGGAGAGTCATGTCGTCGGGAAGGGTGCGATCGGGAGGTGAAGTATGCCAAGCCTTGAAACCGAAAGTTTTCGGCAGTGGGAGGTCCAGGCCGCAGGTGGATTTTACTGCCATGGTTGGAGATGCGAAATAGTGCGAAAAATCAGGGATAAACGTGTTGAGGGAGCGTGGAGGACGAGACGTGAATGGAAGCGAACGGGCTCGTGCCTCGCCAACCTGAGCTCACAGCCATTTAGGCAGGAGGCCCTAGTTCGGTTCCGGGTCAAGTGATACCTGGGTTGTGAACTCTGTTTTTCTGTTCCCTTTTCACATGGTTCCCTTCAGTATCACACTGAATTTTAGCTACTCGACTTGATTTACAGCTAAAGTCAGAACCGAAGGCGCGGATAAAAACTTCTTGTTTTGGAATATTTTCAAATAATTGTAAATATCTCGGTCAGTTTTGCACCGATTTGCATAGAAACTAGATAGATATACTCAGTGAATTCACGAGCAATTAGTGATAGAGAGGAATTTTCGAAAATATTATGTATTAGGTAATCTGTGTTTTCAGGGCATCTTCACACAAATCACTGTTTTTATATGTCTAGAACATGTCCTAGGGGCCCAATATTTTGTGCGAAATAACATATGTACTTAGGTGACTATGTGGCAGAGCCAAAACTGCATGGAATGCTCGGATAAGTGTGATTCTCACAGGATCTTCAGACGCAAGAAAATGCTGAATGCCTTCAATGCAGCTAGAAGAGCTGGAATAAGATTATGTATAGTTCTGGCTCTATCACATCTTTCCCCCGGTATAAATATCGGTCCTCGCAAAATCTTAGGCCCTTGTGACATGTTCTAGGCATACAAAAACGGTATTTTGCGTGAAAATACCCTGAAAACATAGATTACCTAACACATAATATTTTCGACAATTTCTCTCTGTCACTAATTGCGCATGAATTCGCTCAGTATATCTATCTAGCTTCTATGCAAATCGGTGCAAAACTGCCTGAGATATTCACAATTATTTGAAAACATTCCAAAACAAGAAATTTTCATCCGCGCCTTCGGTTCTGACTTTAGCTGTAATTGAGAACTCGAGTTGACTTTCTAGATCATCGTGGGTGGCTGAGTTTTTCTTTGTTCAGCCGGGTTTTACCCCACAAACACTACATATAAACGAGCTTTGAACTCATGTTGCAACTACTTGATGGCACATAGCGTCCGCCTGCCTTACTTCTCTATGGTTATGCAGGAGGCCCTGGTTCGAGTCTGGGTCAGGTGATGCCAAAGCCTCTATCTCAAAGGCATTTTTTTCAAATCTGGTTTTCTTTTAACGCTGAGCCGCTTCCGGTAATTTTTCTCTTGATGCAGACCGTCTCCAAAGGGAAAATTTAACTTCTATGATAACCTCCATGGTTGTTCAATAGTCAATGTCCAACTTAGAAAGATAGTAGTGCATATAAATGACACTGGGAGCTAGCTCATAGACACTTGATAGCACATGGTGTGCACTTGCTTCAGTTATAAGAGCACAGCTGAGGTTGAGCAAGCAAGAGGCCCCGGTTTGATTCCGGGTTGAGTGATACTTTGGTTGCAAGGTCTTTTTTGTTCCTTTGCCACACGGTCCCTTTTACGATACCACATTCACATGGGTTAGTTGAAGTTCGAGGAGCAGAATTTTATTAGTTGACTTGATTTTATTGATCACTCGAGTTGACTTTCTAGATCTTCGTGAGTGGCTGATTTTTGCTTCGTTCAGCCAGGTTTTACCCCATAAACACTACATATAAACGAGCTTTGAACTCATGTTGCAACCACTTGATGGCACATGGTGTAGACCTGCTTTACTTGAGTTGAGTCGATTCCCTTTCCACCTGGCCCTTCAGCCTTGGACTCGCTCAGAAGTAGTGCATATAAAAGACGCTGGGAGCTGACTCATAGACACTCAATCGCACATGGTGTGCACCTGCTTCACCTGGTTTATCCATCGACGGTTATGCAGGAGGCCCTGGTTCGATTCCGGGTCGGGTGATAGTTCAGCGCATTTTAAGTTTTGTGTTCATGTTCTCCCTTTTCACGCTTTCGCTCTGAACAACACCAAGGACCAGATTGTATTGAGGTTCGAACAGCAGCGGCAACAAATGTTCAACCAATTTTATTATTGAAGTTGATTTCCTTGTCTCCGTTGGTTCCTCACGAATAGCGCAGACTATAAATGACATGGGGACTTAGCTTTCAACCACTCAGTGGCACATGGTATGCACCTGTTTGACCTGAAAAATTTGCGGCAGGAAGTCCCGGTTCGATTCCGGGTTGAACGATTCCTGTGTTGTGAAAGATTTTTTGTTCCCTTTTCACATGGTTCCTTTCAGGTGTCCACTCCCACCAAGGAACAGATAGGATTGAACTTTGAGGAGGAGAGAGGTTCAACCAATTTTACCACTCGACTTGATTTCCTGTTTCTCTCCTTATTTCAATGCTCGGTGTTCAACCCACAAATCCTGTATATGAACAATGCTGCTGGTAGCTTATAGACACTCGGTAGCACATGGTGTGCACCTGCTTCACCTACGTTGGGCAACGTGTAGTTTATGCAGGACGCCCCGGTTCGATTCCGAGTCGAGTGATAGGAAAGTTTCGAAACGATCTTTTTTTTCATTCCCTTTCCACACAGTCCCTTTATGATACCGCATTCACATGGGTTGGATTTAAGTTCAAGGAGCAGAGGCTCAACCGATTTTATGATTTCATTTCGAGGTCAAGTTGGTTTCCCTTTCTACAACATCTTCCTCTTAGGCTCGGAACTCGCTCAGAAATAGTCCATATATTGAGCTTTACACTTAGGTTTCAGAAACTCGGTAGCACATGGTGTGCACCTGCTTCATGTAAACAACATCGTCGAAAACGCTCATATGCAGGAGTTCCCGGTTCGATTCCGGGTCGAGTTAGTCTCTGGCTCATGCAAAGCTTCCTTTTAGTATTACTATCTGAGTTGATTCCTTTACTTCCTCTTCCTCAGAAGTAGTGCATATAAACGATGCTGGAAGTTATCTTGCAACCACTCGGTAGCACAAAGTGTGCACCCGCTTGAGTTGATCTCGTGCAATTGTGCATGCGGGAGCGTCCTGGTCCGACTCCGGTCGGGTGATGGATGGAAAGATGACCAGCTGTTTTTCTTTCCCGTTCTACGCTTCTTCTTCTAACGAAGATCTCTCACCAAGAAATGGGGTTGGATTTGGGTTGGATCTCGAAGAGCGGAATTCTACTGTTTTGAATTGATTTTGTTGAGAACTCGAGTTGATTTCCTTCGTGGGTGGTTGATTTCCGCTTCACCCCACGAACACTACATACTTTATGTTCAAAGCAAAACGGAGGAAGAAGCATAGGTTGGACGTACCCGTGAGACCCAGAGCGAGCGGGGAGAAACGGAGTGGGGTGGGGGACAAAATAATGTTGTGCTGTGCATTCTGCACCGTTCCTGCATGCGAGAAGAGCAGACTCGCAGGTTCGAAACGGCCATGGCTGTCGTACTCGGCGTAGTCACTCCGTGCACCGGTCAAGAGCACTTGTAAGGGGTAGAGGATGCGAGCATCGTGGTCAGGTGGAAACGGAGACGGCATAACGAATGCCACAAAGTTACACAAGTAAACGGAGAGCTTCAGCATCTGAAAAGCTTCGGCTGGGATGTCGAGTGGAACCGCAAGCCAGGAGAAATCCCCAGCGGAGAGTTTCTCCGAACGGACTTTCAGAGTTCTGGAGACCAGACGCTGTGAATTGATCCCGCGGATCAGACAAACGGAGGCAGATTTTAAAAATGGAACGCACGAAATGAAGCATTAGGATTTCAATCCACTCGTGGAGTTTCAATAGCTCCAGGCGAGGAAATCCGGGGAGCGAGTCCGTATGGACGAAGTCGTGAGTTATGGTGCGCAGAAGGGTGTGCGCGAAAACGCGTATCCGGTATTGAAGAAAATTGGGGAACCCCTCATTCGGGATATAAAAGGTGCTTGCGAGTGCGTTGGCGGGCAGCGAGAGTGCATACAGACGAGGCAGTGCATCGTGGATGGAATACGATGGAGCTGGCATGAAAGAAGAATAAACGGAGATGGGATGGGGAGAAAAAAGTGAATTGGCCCCTTCTTATAACTCGGCTCACGGCGGCCTGGACGGGCGGTAGCACTCCGTTTCCATTCATCAAGATCTCCACCAGGGAAACGAAACGGAGAAACAAACTAGCCGACGCCTACTACGCTAGCCGTACGGAAAAGATATATCGGCTCATCAAGCAGGCGTGGACGCGGCCCGATACGCTTGAAGCGACCCGCTTGTGGTCTCAAAAATGCGCTCGTCCGGAGGGCAAGTGGGCGGATGATAGGCCTGGCTACCCAGCGTGTGGTCGTAACGGAGTAGTTTCTCGCCGAAACGGTGGAGGAGATGTCCGTGCTCGAGGATTTCTTGGATCTGGCGTGCCTTGATGCGAGTGCCAACCCCGTAGAAGAACGGGTCCGCTTGCGCAGAAGAATATCCGGGCGCCTCTACGGGCGTGGAAGCGTAATCGCGCTGAATGACCATAGCGTGCTGAAGCAACGCAAGGGCGCTGAAAATGCCTTCACAGCTCCGCACGTCTTCATCGCCCTCGTACCCGCATAAAATAACGAATTGCTCGGTCATCGCGAAGATTAGGGTTCCGAAACCTGGGACGTAGTACTGCGCAGGATTGGAAGGATCACTCTCGACACTGGTTTTCGTAGCGCCGATCAAGATCTGCGAAAAATACGACGTGTTAACACGCGCACGCGATCCTAACCGAAACGGAGACGGAAACACGCACGATGTTTGAGAGAAGGATCTTAACGGCAATACGGATCTCGTCGCGGAGAGGGGCAGGGAACTCGGTGAAAATTCTGCCACCGATGGTTTCATGAATCCCCTGGCACAGGTTGCGAATTTGCGACACCCAGAGTGCACGGAGACTAGGTTCTATCCTGGAACCCGTTGCGGGTGGAAGGATGGAGTGAAGCCTGGCCAGCAGGTCCGAAGTCTGAGTAATGGGACGGAAGACATGAAGAAAAACTGCGATTCTGCAGGTTTCATTTTATACCAGCACCACGAAACGGAGACGGACATGTCAGAAGAATCTTTAACTAAACGGAAACTACAAAACGGAGCAGTAATACGGAGGGCTTTACGAGCGCACGGAAGGATACCATTCGGCCCCAGCCACATCGGCGAGAACATCACTCAACTCCTTGCCGGCGCGATTGCAAGCCTGAACGCGCTCGCTGAGCCAGTACTTTTCAGCTACCCATGGGTCATTGCGCTCCTCCTCTTGGAGGGTCGCGATTTCTTCGACTGTCCAGGACGGAACGCATGGAACGTGCGCAAGATCCCGAACAAGAGGGATGTCGATTGGATCCGTGTGGCTGATACGACGTTGGCGGGCGCATCCAATCATGAGCTTGAGCCAGCTCATGATAATGGATTGAAGCGCAGGGCCGACTTTGTAAGTCGGGCTACCCAATATGCCGTCAAATTTCTGCATGAGGGTGAGGGTCCGTATGGCCTCCGTTGGGAACGACATGGGCGGTCCGTAATTCGACACAATTTCAAGCGCAATCACATACGCGAGCCCCTGGCGGAAACGGGATGAAAATCGCGAAATATGCAGCTAAACAGAACTTACCAGAAAACGGAGCAACTCGCCTACGTGGGGAGTCAAGAACTCGACCGACTCGGGGCGCATTTGGTGCTTAACAATGGCGCGGGTTGGGAAACCCTTGTCGATCAGTTGGGCATACGGGCCCACAACTTCTTCAAAGTAACGAAGAAGGCCATGTCGGTCTTCTCCGTATGCACGCGGATCGGGAAGCAAAGTACGATACGGGGTTAAAAGGAGTTGAAGCGCTTCCGGAATACGTGGCCGCCACTCGTTCGGGAGAGGAAAAAACACTCCTTGCCGGGGAGGAGTCCTCAATTGGCGATGAGCCGGGGAGCGAGTCTCCACGACGCTGTCAGGTCGGTGTGGTGATTATTGGGAGGGAAGTCGAGGTCAAGGGGTTCAGGTCCACTCCACCAAGGAGGTAACTGGTGAGCGACGGCATCGGGGCATCCCTGGTCTGGGATTCACGCCGTGAAGCAATTGATCTGGTCGGGGTATTTAGAGCTGAACCTGCGTCACTATCGTCGTCGTCTGAGTCGTCAGAGGACAGCACAGTATTTCCTGTGAGACGAGGCATGAGAGATAGGGGAAATAAGTGATTGAGTTTTTTTCCTCTTACCTAACCACCACCATGCCGCCTCACAAAATAGCCCTGCCTTCGCGAACACAAGCAGCCACCAATGTGTGAAAGCCCCTAACGAAAGCCGAGTTGGTGGGCTTGGCAGACCTCATGCGCACCAAATTCGAGAGTCCGCATCGTGCGCGGCAGTACCAGATGGACGGCATTGAGGCGCAGCTTCAAATGCGCGACGTCTTAGTCCATGCTGGCACCGGTATGGGCAAGACCACAATCGCGGCGGGTCCTCACGCACATCCGACGAGCGCTGGGAAAGTCACCTTGATGATCTCCCCGCTCATAGCTTTGCACGACGAACAAGTCAGTTTTTATCACTTGAATGAAACGGAAGTGAATATTTACAACTACATTCAGGTCGAGACATTTCGGGACGAGTTCAAATTGAAGGCCACCGCAGTGAACAGCAGTAACGGTGGATGCAAAGTGGAGGTGCTTCAGGTTCGTGCTCGACGTGACCCTAAAGGGACACACTGACAATTTCTCGTTAGGAAATTGTTCAGGGAAACTATGAGATCGTATTAATCTCACCTGAGATGGCGCTTTCGCGCCGTTTCATCCGGGAGGTCTTGCGCAACGTGGACTTCAGTCGGAGGATCATGTCCGTTGTCGTGGACGAGGCCCACGTCGTGTCGCATTGGGGAGCTTCGTTCCGCAAAAAGTATGGGACCCTGGGCATGATCCGCGCCTTTCTGCCACGAGGAACACCGGTCGTTGCGCTCTCGGCCACACTGCCAGCCCGTGTCCGAAACGATGTTCTCAGTAAACTGCAATTTGGTCAGGATTACGCCAACATCGATGTGGGAAATGACCGACCTAATGTCTCCATCATCGTCCGCGGCATCCACCATCCGCTAAACACATATGCGGATCTCGATTTCATTGTCGCCGGGATTAGAACGAAGGAGGACATCAAGAAGACCTTCATATATGCCGATAATATCGCGACCGGTGTCGAGATTATTGACCACCTAATGAGTCTGCTGCCGCCGGAGCTGCAACACGTTGTGCAGGGTTATGACGCGCCGTTTCGACCATACAACGCGGCATTATCAAAGGAATATTGAAGGAAGGCGATGGAGCTGTTTAAAGCGGGCACAATTCGGATTTTAGTTTGCACTGACGCCGCAGGAATGGTTAGTCCGACGTCAATATCTTCAGCGGAACATACTGACAGGTCTCTAGGGATGCAATATGTGGAAACTGCCTGCTTCGATATCCCTCTTTGTCCAAAGGGCAGGGAGAGCTGCGCGAGCGGATGGGCGAACTGGACTCGCAATTCTCCTCGTCGAGCCGAGCGCCTACGGCATAGATCTTGCTAAGGGGATTGCTGCGAAGACGTCGGGAGGGAAGGGAAAGAAGAAAGGGGAGAAGGAGAAGGAGACGAATGCTGAAAAGCGGGAAAAAGCAAGGAAGAAAAAAGAGCATGCGAAGCTGAGAGGGGTGCAGCGGGGTGGTGTCGGGGGGAAACATGACACAATTTTCGTTGTGGAGACGCTGGCGCTGGACCCGGAGGCTCAAGATGTGGGCCTGCTGGTGTTTTTACAGACCATGAAGTGCCGTCGTACTGTGTTAACAGAGATCTCCAACAACAAGCCTGCACGTAAGTGTTTTGCAATCAATGAGGACTTCAAAAGGACTTACCAATAATATAG